CTTGTGGAAGTTTAAAAACCAATTTTTCAGTGTTTTATTGTTACATATTTTTTATATGTTTATGTAGATGCTTAAGGGCGTGTAAAGTAGTGAAGCGCAATACATGATGCCGTATCCTGTTGGCATCACTCAGCGTCTCCTACTCAATTCCTATCTTCACGTCCAAGTTGGTACACATCGGTAACCTGAGAAACCCTACTGGAGATTGGATAACCAATCTCAGTGGAAGGTGGGGTCAGGGCTGACGAAGAAGGGAGCCTTGGTCCTCCGACGAATAGGGGGTTAAGCGAAGGGTTAACAACACTTTTCTATAAAACTCAATTATTGCGAATACATTGGCTAATAAAACAAACGGAGGGATCTCACAACGACAAACGCAGCAAAGAAAAAAAAACATGATTATGGATTTAAAATTTAGAGCCTGAAATGTGTAAACTCCTTTAAATACAGGAGCTATGATAGGTATGGCAGAAGAAATTGAAAAATACGGGCTTGAAATATTGGCTCTGCAGGAAATCAGATAAAAGAGCCAGAGAGAAATTCGTAAAAATAAGTTCTCACTATAATACTCCGGAAATGAAATGAGACAATGTGAAAGATGAGTAGGGCTTATAGTCACCAAAAGACTGCGAAAAGCAATTATCGCAATTACACCAATAACAGAATAATTTGCACCATAAGACTTAAACGTAAACTGCATAACGTGAGGTTGAAAGATTCTATGGAGAACTTCAGGAAGTATGTCATAAAATCCAAAGATACGATGTTGTTATAACATTAGGCGACTTTAATGCTAAACGGGGAAAAGATGAAACTTTTGTAAACATATATAGGAAACATAGTTTGCATAATGAAACCAATCAAAACGGACTTAGGGTTGCACAATTTGCAACAGTAGTTGTCAGCACTAACTTCTAGAGAAAAGATATACATAAAGGAACAAGGAAAATACCAGAAACAAATGAAGCCATTCTAATTGACCACATCCTCATCTCCAAATATGGGCAACAGACATAACTTCATGTCATGTCAGAACGTATCGCGGGGAGAACTATGACTCAGATCATTATCTTGTGGGGGCAAAAAAAATACTCTCCAAGTAATATTCAACAGAATCAGAGAGGAAGATACTGAAAAGGAAGAATAGAGATAATTAAAAACAATAATAAGAGAGTCTGCCGAGGAAACTGTTGAAAAAGCTAAAAGGCAACGTAATGCGGAGTGGTATGATGATGAATGCAGAACTGCAGTGGAGGAAAAAAGGCAAGCACGGCTTAACCAACTTCAAAGAAACACAAGAAATGGGAGAGAAATTTATAATGTAAAGAGAATACAAGCGAATATGCAGAAGAAAAAAAAGAGAGACTTTGATCAAACAAGTACAAGAAATCCTAGAACATAACAACAGACACGAGAGTAGAACATTCTATAAAAGAATAAAAAAAAAGCACACAGTCATTTAGTCCAAAATTGACAATATGCAAAGACAAGGACGAAGAACTAGTAACAGAGAAACAAAAAATTATAATGAGATGGTAAGAATACTTTGAGAAAAACCTAAATACAGATAATGAAAATGATAAAAACGAGACAGTATATTTTACGGAAAATCCGAGTTATGAAGAAGTAGTTCAAATAATAAAGAAACTAAAAACAGTAAAGCGCCAGGAACGGACGGAGTTTCGGCAGAATTGTTGAAATATGAAAAACCTGAACTTTGAGGAAAAATCCATTACCTGATAAAGTTAGTACGAACCAAGGAACAAATGGCAGATGAATGGGTAATTAGTCTCATACAGTCAATATATAAAAAAAGGGATAAGAGGGAATGCCAGAATTACAGATCAATTACATTGGTAAATGTAATATACAAAATCCTTTTTGGCATTATCTACATTAGATTGTCAAAATACTCCGAAAATATAATTGATGATTATCAAAATGGATTCAGACCAAATAGAGCCACTACAGAAAACATATTCATACTTAGAACAATACAAGAAAAAGTTTATGAATATGACATTGAACTGTAGAATATGTATATAGACTTTAAACAAGCTTTTGATAATGTGAAAAGAGACAAAATGCTGGAAGACCTCCGAAATCTAGGTATACCAAAAAAATATATCAGCCTCATATAAGTGACGTTGCAGGGTTCAAAATTCGCAGTTAGAGTAGATGGAGAACTGTCTCTCCTGTTTGACATGAACATAGGGGTGAGATAGGGAGACGCACTTTTAACCATTCTGTTCAACCTAGTTCTTAAAGTAGTCATCAGAAAAACCAATGTAATCGGTCATATAAACATACATAAAATAGTACAATTTATTGCATATGCAGATGATGTCGCCGTTATAAGTAGAAGCAAGACGCGAGTAATGGAAACGTTCAAGGAAATTGATCTTGAAGCGCAAAAAATAAGGCTTAAAATAAACGAAACAAACATTAAGTATATGACAAACAAACAACTGAGAATGGAGATAATATAGCAATAGACAACTATACTATTGAACGTGTGTACGCCTTGACATATCTGGACACAAAAACCAATCAGAGAAATTCCATGAGTAGCAAAATTAATGCACGTATTTTCAGTGGAAATCGTACATAATATGCTAATAAAAGATTGATGATATCGAAATTATTAGACAAAAGAACCAAAATGACTATCTACAGAACTTTGATTAGACCCGTAGTATCCTATAGTTGTGAAACCTGAGGAACATGGCACATGGAGAAATAGGAAAAACGACGAGGTTAATGAATGGAATGTGTAGCATTTTCAATTTCATTGATTCTTTGAAGTATATTGAAGTTCCCTCGTATACGAAATATTAAAATCACCTTATATAATTTTGATAGATCTAAAAATATTTCGTACGTATTTAAACCCAAATATCTTTTCATTTCTTTCTTAGGTCGGCCAAGTTGAAATAAACCATTTTAGAGTTGTTTATTTTACTTCGGCAATTTATTTTCAAGTTAATGCGTCACAAAAAGATATGTACGTCGTTTCGTGGTGTCTTGTTATGTCAGCGTTTGCATGTGTGCGTTCAATTTTAATAGAATTTCTTCACTCTCGTTGGAGCAGCTTTCAAGAGTGGTTCAGCGTTATGTCCAAATTCACGTCGAATTTGTAAAGTGTTCTGTTTTCGTCTTTTATTATGAAGAATATAATGTAGCAGTTTGTTATTAGTTTTGTAGCAGTAAATGCTTCAATTATTAATGTTTTGAGTGAGGATTGGAGGACATCCTCGTTTTGTTTTTCTTTTGTTCCTGCTTTTATCCAAGGCTTTTGGCAGTTTGGAGATGGAGGTTTTCGTCATGCAGAGAGAGTGGAGCTCTCAGTTCCTGGTTCCAGTTATGGTTTCATAAACTTAAGTGTGATCATGTGAATTAAGGTAACATTTTGTTCAAATTTTAAACTAAAGACAGACATTTTTTTATGAAATAATAATTGCTTTCGTTGACATTTAAAATTGTAAATTTTAGGTTTTGAGTAAAACTGTCAATTTGTGTTTAGTTTTTTTTTTGAAATTCAATGTTAATTTATGACAGCTCGTTTTAGTATTTTTGATGTTGATTTGTTTTGTTTTTTTTTTAAAAAGGTTAACCTCCATGCACTTTTGTTTTGTAGCAATGTAGTTTCTTAATGGATGACACATGTAAGTTTTTGAATTTTGTATTTCTCTATGTAACTGTTTGTGGTGACACATAAATAAAAGTTAAATTTTATTTTCTTAACTTTTTATCTATTTTTTTTGAGCTAACCCTTTTTGAATTTATTTGAAAAAGATATGTTTTTTATGTTTTGATTTTGTTTTCTAATTATCTCCCTAGTTGCAACTAGTGGTTGTAATAGGCATAATTAGGCACCTCAAGTGGCGCCCTATATTAAATTTCTTGAGGTGTTTCTTGTTTATTTTTATTTTGTTTATCCCAAGAGCCCTTTATTTCATTTTTTTGTAGTTGCCCCATTCCAATGCCCTTATCTTTTACTTATCCACGACCCCAGCTCTCCTACGAAACCCTGAGTGCCGTTCGCACAAGTAGCGATTATTTTGCTTGCCCTATCTCCACCCCCTTAGTTTCTTCCTCCAATTTTCTATCTCCCGTATTAATGCCCCTGTGGTAGGCAAAATATTATCGTTACAAATGAAGGGTATGACATTGTAAGATTTGTGAGAAGTCAAAGACTGTCATGGCTAGAACATGGTCAGCGACAAGAAGACACGAAAACGACAAAGAAGATGTTATAGTGGAAGCCAGTAGCAAGGCGGAAAAATGGAAGGCCCATGACGAGTTGGTTGTATGACGTGAAAGACGACCTGAAAATCATGAACGAACGACAATGAAGAAGAAGGGCCCAATAGAGATCTGAATGGAACAAATATATGAACATAGCCAAACAGGCAAATACCCATCCAGGGTTATCATGCCAAAAGAAGAAGAAGAAGAAGATGTAGATGCTTTAAATACACATTCTTGTTTTAGCGTGTAGCTCCAGAGTTAAATGTACATATTACAAATTTATAAGATTATTACTTAATTCTTGTTTTCTATTTCTAATTCTTTTATTTTTAATTATTAATATTTTTTTTTGTAATTTGGCAATAATGTCAACCTAGATCTCTTACGTAGTTAATAACGTGCATCGTGAGTTATACTGAACCAGCTGTATATAAACAAGTTAAATGTCATCTTTTTGTATTGTGAAACAGATGTCATAATATGTCATATGCAGTGTCATTCACCTGTTGTTTTGTGTGTCTGTAAAGAAGCGTAAATGACAAGATATTTTAGGTATTCTATAGCCTCATATGTTTCACTGGATTCGATATAAATATCTTAATAAGCGTATAAGAAAATTGACAACCATGATACATTCATATTCAAAAGAATAAGTACATCATCTTTAAATGCTATGATAATAATTATTTAACGAGCTCCTCGTAGGGGTTGTATTGATCCCATATTTATTCAAAGATATGAAAGACGAACTATATTTGTGAACCCCTACGACTGCTCAGCACTGGCGACATCTGGACGTTGGTTTTTTGAACGGTGAGCGACTCCTGCCGGTCGCTGCCGTTGATTTCTATCTTCGGGTGGATGTCGACTTGTACTCTAATGTCATTATTTGTATCTTCGTTGGGTTTCGCCGTACCATTTACTGAAAAAAGAATTTTTACTTAGTAAAAGGTTTTAAAAATAATAGCCAGATTTGAATATGGCGCAATTTACGCGAAATATTTTGCCGATATAAAGTTCAAAATTAAGAAAAAATAAGAGCTACTCAAAAGAAACATTTAACCATTACAAATTAAAAATGGAATTCCTTAAGGAATGTAGATAAACAAAACATGATGATAATTCTTGAATTTTAAATAACCCGTATAGTATTTTTTACCTGGCTAATTGGTCTTTACCAAAGCCATCTAATTAAATAAAAAAAGCATGGAAGTATAAACACAGATGGACTCAGTTATTTACATAAAATTGTGAAGTCAAAATTATTTGAATAGGTCACATTCTTAGCACCTTCAGCTGTTGTCACGTTTTGTTTTAAAATTTCTTATTCGCGAGTCGCTGAAAATATCACTCCGTATTTTATACTCTACAGGTGCTATCAAACCAAAATAATAATTTATTGGTTAGATTAATATATTTAATTGTAATCAAAATATAAAGTGTGCACATAGTGTGCATTATCATTTAATAATAGCGTATAATAGATATCAATCAATTATATGTAGAAGCACTGAAAACTATTTATAAATGGCAACGGTTGTTTACATTTCTCTGTCTTATGGATCTACGTCAAACTTCAAATGCTGTTCCATGTTTGTTTACTTTTTAGTAAAAGTTGTTTTTCGATATTTTGGCTGTATTTTGAGTGATATTTGTAAAAAGTGAAATAAAATAAACGAAATATTTACATCTCGATCTCTCATTTCATTTGTAAGTACATAAAATTTACATTATTTAAGATGAGGAAATGAGGAAGCGTGTTTGTTTACATTTTAATAGGCGTACCATTGGGTTTATTCATGTTCATTAATGTATTAGATAAGTTCATGAAATTAGTAGACATCATCTGATTAAAAAAGATCTATTTAGTACCTTTTTAATTTAATATTTCTCATGGATGCAAATAAATTAGTGAAATGAATAAAACTCATTTATTTTTCTCTGTAGGTTTCCAAATAATATTGACGATCGAACTATTTTGGTAGCAAATTTAGGAAAAACATAAAGATTTTTTATTGTAGCATTATTTTGATACCTATTAAAAATTAACTTGAATTCAACTATATTTTATTGTATTAATTTTAAAGCAAATAAAATTGTATTTTAATTTTTCTATAAAGACGTGATTTGTTAATAGTTAAACTCTCGTTTTTTTTAAATTCTTTGAACGTGTTTTTATACAGTATTACTACTTCCAATTTTTAAAATCTGAATAATTACCCGCGAGTAATAATTCAAGCACGCTTATGCTCATTGCGGAAGCATCACATTCTATCGAAGCTTCAAAACATTGTGTGTTAAAGGTATCTTATTGCTGTGTCCATCTACAGTCCATGAAAAAAAGCATTTTTTACAGTAAAATCATTTCACGTGACGACTTATACAAACTGACGTCACTTGGATTTAAAATATCCATAAAATCAACCTTAAAGTTAAAATTTTCCCAACACAGCTAATAATACGACAACCATACGGAAGTGCTCGATCTTAAGCGTCTTCAAAAAACATATACGTATACATTTTATGAAATAACTGTTTAATATTCCACAAAATAATAATTTTAATTTAATAGATTGTACAATCTTACGCCTCTGATACGGGAATACTTCAAACTTTAATAATAATTTAGCGTTTGGAAAAAATGTTTACAGTGTTGCTAATAATTTATACTAAGAATTTTCTTTATTTGTTTTGATTTCTTCCATAGTTTGATTCACTATATGTAGTTTTAATAAATTATATTTATAAATACATATTAAATTTAGTTTAATACTTTAAAAACAAATTATTGTTATGTATTATGATTGGGTTATACCAAAAGCATCTGAATAGTCGCTGTAGAGAGCTAATTGTTTGTTTAATAGATTATTTTAAACAATAACGACATAATGGTGGGCCTTTTTACCATTAAATGGTCTAAAAGAAGTAAGTTAAGGAATTAGGAATATACAATTTTGCATTACAATGGTTTCTTATGTAAGTAAGCCTTTTTCTTAATACTAAGTATATCTACTGTGAATAATATTTCTCAAGGTGTTAAAAATAATGAAAAACACCTCCTAAAAAAGGATGATTACCAAATAAGTATTACAAAAAGACTAAAACTATTACACAACAGTGGAATAATAGCGGTATCCGTGATGTTATTTACGATACATACAAAACAAGTAAGAATTTTGATAAATTAGCCAATTTAGACAGAAAGAAATGTTTATTAATCATATTGTTTTTTTGTAGAGAAATATGTAACTTTAAAATTATTCTTGGTTACTGATAGCTTCGGATGTGAAGGTTGCTGCCTTAATTTAGTAATTCTGAGTAGTGTTAAGCTTTGACTTCAAATTGGAAATTTGGGATAATATTCAGTTCTTCTAAGGAGTCTACTAGTCTTTTCTTAAGGATCTTCTCGTAGATTTCATTTACTCATAGACGTTATTTACAAGAGAGATAGGTCGATTTAATTCCGTGTTGGTTCGAGGTTTCCCTAGTTTTGGAATCATGATTGTGCTGACCATTTTCTAAGGAGAAGGGAAGTAGCCCAACAAGAGGAATGCTTGCCTCGCTGCTTGGATTATATTGACCAACAGCGGGATAATAATTTCAGGAGTTTTTTAGTCTTCTTGTGTATATGCCATTGGAGCCAGGAGATGTGTTTACCGTAGCCACACATCTGCCTACTGGGGCCATTATCGAATGCTAGTTAGCTCTAATATACGGCAGAGGGTTTTATGTTGATATGTCTTTAACTCTCCGTTCAATATCCCTTCTAAATCGCTGGTTGAAGTTTGGGCTATCTCAGGTTTGGAAGGCGGCCTGAAGTAAGTTTTTGAATGCATCGGACTTATCTTGGGGGTTATTTAAGATGTTGTTAGGTGAGATATGTGAGTGGGTTTGAATGTCTTGTTTGGTTAGGATTTTAAATTTGTTCCAGAATTTTCCACCATTTTGGTAGTCTAGGTTGTTGATAATTCGCATTCACTATTCATGTTTTAGTTTGTTAACATCCAGCCTGATCGATGCCGAGAGAGGGTTATATTGTGTTTTGATGAGAACATATCGATATCTTTTATACTTTCTGATTATCTGCGCTTAACTTGGATTTAAGATAGAATTCTAGGAGGGTGCGTTAGACGTTATTAATTGTATTTGGTTTTTGGAATACCCAGGGAGAAAGCTTCTTGAAGATGACTTTCAATTTAAGAGGACAATGTGTCTATTTGTTCATTTGTTAACAGGTTAGTTAACTCTGAAAGGTTTTGGGTGATAAAAGTCTCCAAAAACATACAATAAATATATTTCAAAATTAAAACCTTTTATCAATAAAGATCCTGGTAGTCGTCTACCAATTATGTAATGTAATTTATAAAATGTTGGACATACATATTGGCATTTACATAGACGAATTATTACACACAAAAAAGCATAATAATGATTAAACCAATTACTAATATAATATAGTTTAATTAATTGACTACCAACAAATTGACTACAATACTGGTGCAGATCTGAAAGTGCCCAGTGTTTTGGTGATCCCAGACCTATAAATTTAGACAATTTAGATAAATAGGTCTATAAATGGTAGGTGGAGAGTTTTTTCTACAATTACCTTCTTTTTAATTTTATTTGTTTTAAAGCAAATAGATCATTCTCATATGACTGAATGTTGTTCAAACTTTGTTTTTATGAATTGACGTTAAATTTATTCTTATATCTATTTTCTATTCTTCTGGTGTTTTGACCATATAAATAAATTCATAAAATAGGTTGATTAGCATCTTTTTAACTACTTAGAGCTAGCGTTTATCAATTCTATCATGATATTTCCTGGTTAGTTAATTTTTGTTACTGCATTTATTTGTAATTCCACTATTTCGCCTGGTATATGTTTGTTTTGTATCCTTCTCAGTCCTTATTGTGGACCTAGTAAGCTAATCTTCGTTGTTTGGTCCTTAACCCTTTCAGAGATTGCGTCTTTGGCTTTGAAACATGATTAACGGCTGTATTTTTGTTCCGAATATATGTTTTTTTAAATTAAGCAATAAAAATTTTAATTACGGTATGAGCAACAACGCCGTAACTGAAAGACAAACCCTTAAAATTAAGGATTTTGGCCTGTACTATATTATACTCCTGGACAAATAAAAATAAATTGGCTCAGAAATTATAAAAGTTACAATTGCCATACCTTAGTATCTATATACCATAATTGGACAGTTAAAGGAACAAACAATATATTAATGTTGCAGAAATAGAAATATTTTGATGGAAAATTAGAATTACTGGATGTGTTACCAATTAATATCGAAATATAAGAGTACATTACGATAGTTGGTACACCAAAGGAAACCAAAAAATACCTAATGGTCAAGGAAGGGATTATTAGTATTTCTTTTTTAAGTAAAGCATATTTTTTTTGATAAATATAAAACATTTAGTACTTACCTTTTTGGTTTACAGCGTTTTCTACTACTTTAACTTTGGCATCATTCTTGGGAGTTTCGTGGTTAGCCTCTGGCGATTCAGTGGAGTATTTTTGTCTCGACTGCGGATCGACCATCCTGAAAGATTCCAAGAATTCGTTGAGATCTACTTGGCCGTCTTTGTTGAGATCCATCAGCTTGCAGATTTCTTGTAGCTGCTCCTGAGTCATCGGGCAAGGCATGAATCTCTTGATCAGATTGCAGGCGTCTGAGAATTCGTCTAGGCTGATGTAACCTAAAATTAGTAAAATAGATAGTGTAGTCCAGATCTTCACTAACTTCTTTAACTTTGTTTATTAGTTGCTGTAAACTGTTTAAACTGTCTGCAAAAATAACTGTATCATCTGCATAGCGGATGTTGTTTAGGTATTCTCCATTTAAAAGGATTCCATGTTCGCAATTTCCCAAGGCTTTACTAAATATTTTCTCCCAATATAGGTTAAATAATATAGGTGAAAGTATACATCCATGTCTAACGCCTCGCAGAATCTGAATCGCTTCCACCGGTTCATCTCCAAGATTTGTTTTTATTGGGCTTTTTTTAGAATATCCATTATTTTTCGGTGTTGAACTAAAGCAGGTGTAGATATCGCAAGTCATATCTCTGCATCTTTGGAATAATACCTTTAAACTAAACAGTGCATCTCTCGTACCTGCACCTTTCATAAATCCAAACTTTGTGTCTTGTATTCTCCCTTCGCATAGCTTGTATATTCTGCAATGTATAATAATTTTAAGAAAAAGTTTTAGTGTATGGCTCATTAGACTTATTAGCCTATATTCATCGCAATTTTTCGCTCCCTGTTTCTTAGGTAACGTAAAAAAATCTGACCGGCCAATCTTTTGGAATATTGCCTGTATCATAGATATTATTGAAGATTTGACATAGTATTTTAAAGATTCATCATCAAGAAGTTTAAGAAATTCAGACTCCTTCTAGTCTTGAAGCTCTTCCTTCTGTTAGTGATATTATGGCTACTCTTATTTCTGCCACTAGTATAGGTGGTTCTGTATCCGTAGATATTGGGGACTGGCTCTCCCTTTCATCAAAAAATAAATTTCGTATGTAATTTTTCCAGGTTTACTTACTCTGGTAAACCTTTATCATTTTCTCACCACTTAGGATGTCATAAATTCAACCTCAAACATTAATCTCATTAAATTGATAGTTCATTCTTTTTTCAATAATAGAGATTTACTGATTTAGACAATAAATTTTATCATTTAAACAAATCTAATTTTTAAATACAGGTTCATTAATAAGATATTAGTTATTACTACAAGTAAATAAATTTTATAATTTCACAAATAAAAATTACGTTAATTTCGGAACATATTGACATCTAGTCAAGTTCAGCTGTCTTTAAATTATTTCCTGTCACCTCAGCCAGTTGGTCTGTGTCGTTTCAACTGACAAGTACCACGTGCTAATATTTGAGCAGGGAAACATGTAGTCCCTAAAGTAATTTTTAAACATATATCCATTGTCATCGACCTGGAGTCAAAACATTATTAAATGTAAAATTTGGAATACTGTAAATCCATACATGGAGGTCTTATAGACAACTTTACTGTTAGCAACAAATACACAAGGCACTGAGGATGATCTGTTCAGATTGAAAACGTTCTGCCAGAATTTAAATGTTGACGACACTTTTATAAAGTTTTAAATATTTGTTTGTTTTTATACCACAATACATATGTGTGAAGTGTTTTAACTTCTGTGTTTTTTTAGTTATTGTTCTTGATTTTCCTTTTTTCTTCCATCAGCTGCAGAATCTCTGTCGTCATCCATGTCTTATTCGTACCTTCTTCGTTCTTCATAAAATTGTCTTTAATGTCGTCTATCGTTTTATTAAGGGATTCTATCTTTTCTTCTGTACTTTCCGTTGTATTATCATTTTTTTGAATTTTCCATTTATTGTTTTGCTGACTATTTCTTTTACTTCACTACATTTTAGTTTTCATATGTCATGTTTTTTTTTAGTTTTTCGCGTGTTTTTTTTAACTTTGCACTATACATGCCCACTAAAGGATTGTGGTCAGATTGAATATCAGCACCTGTGTAGGTTTTAACACTGTTGAAACTATTTCGATATCTTTTGTTAACAAGTATACAGTCTATTTGGTTTCTTATAATAACATCTTCTACGTTGTCTCTACGATTTCCTCATATACAGGCGTCTAGGTGGTACTCATTGTTTCTCCTCGTTGATTTCTCTCGCCTAATCCATAAAGACCAATACGTTGCCCTCCTTTTCCGTTACCTATTTTATCATTAAAATCTCCCTATAAGGAGTTCATAAGGAGACAATTGCTATTCGTGTCTTATTAAGTTATATACTTAAATAGAAATGTATTTAGTGAAATTTTAATGGCAAAAATATATAAAATTTACAAAATAATTTCACATTATAACACGCAACGATTGTATCACAATATGATGGTTCGTTTTTTGAATTTTCTTCTTTACTTTGGCTTATCAATACTGTTATCTTTGTCTTACCTGATTTGTCCTTATCGATAATGTGGAATATGGCTTCTAAACTACTTTTATTTCTGTATAACGTTTCTACCACAGAATGAGCACCTTGTACAGACTAGAAGAAATAAAAAAAAAACATTAATAATCTAATCATATAATTATAAAATATTTACACTTAATAATTTTATTGGTATTCTGCGGTCTAAAATCTTAAGTGAACATGAACACTTCTAACAAACGTACATAAATATCATACTCGATCTGTGATAGATATACAGGGTGGAACTGCTAAATGGAATCAATTCGATAGTTAATAGCTGGGCACGTATTAAAAAAAGAACGTTTGGACCCGTTGATTGACATTTTAAGTAAACATATTTTGCAATAAAAATACAGGGTGTGTCATGTAACAGTGGCTAACGTCAACTTTTTTATTTCAAATACAAAACCCTGTACATTTAATTCAGTAAATTTGTACTGTAAAGTGATACTAGTAGGAAAGTTTTGGGGAAGTTCTGATTTTTTCATTCCATATGTGTTTTGGGGTGCTTAATCTGAATCTGAGGTTTGCGGACAAAATTTCGTGACGCAACATTTAAAAAACCAGAAGAAATCGTTTTTTTGCTTTTTTCCGGTTTTTTGCTTAAAACTCGAAAACTGTTAACTTTTAGTAAATGGTCTGTCTACAGAAATTAAAGTACTTAAAGTTCTGTACACCTACTTAACAGACTGAGTTTAACGATACAAAATATGTCATCGACGGGGGTTTTTTGTTACATCGGGTAAAATGGCGCCAAGGTCAGACATATGCAGACATATGCAGCAGTTATGTATCATATGACAAATCAAACTACAAATCAAGTGCTATTGTCGTTTTTGATGGCTACCCTGACGAGGCTTGTGGTAGCACCAAGCGTTTAGAACGATTGAGAAGAGCACAAAGAAAACAATCTGCTGCAATATCATTAACAGAAATGATGGTGCCCACTATGTCGCAGGATAGTTTTCTTGAAAACCCAAAAAACAAGACCCGGTTTATATCTATGTTAATGGAGAAACTTCATGATGCAAAAATTCATTCAAAGCAAGCTTTGGAAGATGCTGATATCCTAATTAACTCAACAGCTCTTGAGATGACCCGTGAAATGAACATGTGACAGTGGTGGGAGAAGATATCGACCTACTGGTCATTTTGATTGGCGTTTGTAGCCCTGATATAAAAAATGTATTTTTTTTGAAGCCAGGAAAAGGAAACGTTTCGCAAAGCCTCTACAACACTCATCTGGCTGCTGAGAAAATCTTATTGGATCATATTTTATTCCTGTATGCGATGAGTGGTCCTGATACTACTTCTGCATTGTTTAGTCAAGGAAAACTGAAATTTCTTAAAGTCCTGCAGAAGAACAAAGATTTGCAATCGCTAATTGAATCTTTCAAATACCCTAATTTAAGTCAAGATGAGATTGCCACAGCAGGAAACATGTTTCTCACGGCTCTATATGGAAAAAAGAGACAAAACTAAACGATTTAAGATATAAACAATACGTATCTTCATCATTCAAAAATAAGACCAACATTTCCTCATTGCCCCCAACTGAAGCTGCTGCACGAGAACATTCACTGAGAGTTTACTATCAGGTGCAGCAGTGGTTATCCGGTCAAGCCACACCTAACGAGCAACAAAAAGACCCAAGTGAGTGGGGATGGCAAAAAACTAGTAGTGGTCTTGTGCCAGTACCAACTACTTTGGACCCTGCACCAAACTCAATATTCCGGTACATTTCATGTAAATGTAAAAAGGGCTGTCAACGCAATTGTGGATGCAGGAAGGCGGGACTCCATTGTTTCCCAATATGCACATCATGCGAAGGACTGTGTAACAATGTTGAGCCCCCAGAAGACAGCTCTGACATAGACCTAGAAGAAACTGAAGAAAGAGGAAGAGGTATGTTGGATCTGACAAGTTATTTTGTAGTCATTCATCTCTCCTTGATATATGATATGTGTTTCTAATCTTTTTATTTTCCAGGAGAACGACTCCCGACGCGGACGATGGAGCAATCAGACCCTGAGCCAGGACCCGATGCCATTGAAGAACCTCACTACGATGCGGAAAGTATGTTTAATCTCACAATCTATTTTGCAATCTTCATCTCTTCTTGATAAATGACTTAACTTTAAACTTTTATTTGCCAGAACAAGCAGAACCAGGACTCATCGTTATCGAAGAACCTCAGCCAGGGCCTTCCAAAAGACAACGGCTCATATAAATTTTGCATATTATAATTAAGAATCATAATGTATGGTCATAAGAAACGAGATTTTAAGTTTTATTTTGTTACGAGTTCTACCTACTGAATTTGCATAATTTTTCCCTTTTTTCTTTTTAATTACTTGTGTGGAAAACAAGGTGACATTTAACAAATGACAGCATCCATAAAAATTAAATATTGAAATGTAAAAAGTGGGTTTTGCATAAAATGACAAAAATTTACAATTTTCTACTCGCACTAGAAACCGAACGATTCGTCTGAAAAAAAAACTAAATACTGTTATTTGTAGAATATTTCAAGTACTTTAATTTCTGTAAACAGACCATTTACCAAAAGTTGATATTTTTCGAGTTTTAAGCAAAAAAAAAGAAGAAAAAAACGGTTTATTCTGTTTTTTTTTTAATGTTGCGTCACGAAATTTTGTCCGCAAACCCCAGATTCGGATTAAGCACCCCAAAAAACATATGGAATGAAAAAAATCAGAACTACCCCAAAACTTTCCTAGCAAAAATACAATTTAACTGAACTAATTATTAAATTTTTCGATTTCTCAGAAAATTTGAGATATATCTCAGGTGTAATGTCCTATACATGTCTTTAATTGTTTTGAAAATATTAATTGTTTTAAGAATATTGCTGTAAATTTGGTACAACACACTGTGTATTTCTTGATAATGTAAAAAAAAACAAAAAAAAATACGTTGATATGAATGTAGGAGATGTACAAAATGCTCTTGCCAACATCCTAATCTTAAATAGAAATTTCTTCGAACGCTACTTAATACTTCATGCGTGATCGATCCAATTGCAAGCGTTATTCGTCTTTTTAAGTCAGCTAAGTCGAGGGGTTTAGTTTTGTGTACAATATTTTTCACATATCCTTCACATATAAGAAGAAGTCTAATGGCGTCACATCAGGAGATTGTTGTGGCCATTCCATCGAGACATAAACTCTGAACCAGCGGGAAACGACAAAATTACTGGTTCTTGAAAGAAAGATACTGCGGACTATCTATGGGCCTTGCAGGGGTGTAAATTGTATTCATATGAAATTTTTTTGAAAACGAAAAGTGTCCAGATGATTTAATATTGTTCTTAATTTATTGACATTTATGAATTTTAAACTCAATCATTATAAATCGAAACTTTTATTGACAAATATTCTTTAATTTTTACGTTTTATTTAATGTCTGTATTTTGTTAGTTATTTTTCATGCAGTTTTTAATTTAAATCTGTTTAGAATAAATATGTGACTTCTGATAGCGCCAGTTCTGTGATGTTCCTCCCAGAATTATACTTTAGAGAAAAAAGTAATACCACATATACCAGTATAGAAGCTTCGTTTAAAAAAAACCAATAATGAATATTGCCTTTAATGTACTTACAATCTACAGAAACATAATAAACTTAGATAAATGAACTTTAAACTCACGTTAAGTTTTTCATTCTTGACGTCGAATGTCGTCTGATATTTCACTTTATTTGTGTCAGCGTCTACTGTAACTAGTTTGTCTTTGAGCATTCTCCAGGGTAACTGAAGTCCAGTAATTTCTTCCAGTGCAACGCACCACTGAGTTATTGATATGTGTCCTGAAAGAAATAAAAATAGATAGAAAGAGGGTTGAAAGAATGGAAGTAGTGATTTAAAAAGTTATTGAAGTAATGATCGTCGGAATTTTTAGGATCGATGTTTTTTTTGTAAGAAAACCTAATAGGATCGTCGAGTTTGTACAAAACGTGGATAAAATATACGTGTAATATATAAATACAGGTTGTAATAGTAAATTATCGCCATGTAAAATCTTAACCAAACAAAAAATTTAAACCCACTTACATTTTATAGTAAATAATATCTTCAATATTCCTCAAGAAAATACCAATACATTCAAAAATTCACGGTAGACCGCCTTCCAAACCTCAGAATACTGTCGCCGTACGCTAGCTAGGGCCCTGGCCAATCAGCGTACTGTGCACGCAAGTACAAGTATAATATTATGTAGATCTCGCTTAGGTGGAGTGCCTCTTCAAAGTTAGGGCTCCCTAGCTAGGAAGAGGAGTGGTAAGAGTCGCCAGTCTACGAAAGCAATTTGTAAGTGTAGAGAATCTGGTGACACTAAGAAGCAGTAGTCACTCAGTTTTTATGAAGGTGTAGGGTGGAGAGTCATGCAATTCTGAGGAGTTACCGTAGTCTGTTACCAGCTATACATTTGGGAACAGCTCTTTTGGATAGAGCAATTTTGGCTTGTAGATCGGTATTTACTAGGATATTAACTAGGATGTTGAAATACTCATCAAAATGTTCGTTTCCAGCCAAGTTAAGAAGTTTGTCCGGGAGGAAGGAAACTTTTACACCTGGATGCCTGGTTAGTATGTGTCCTAGGCGGTGGCATGAAATCTTTAAGACCTCTTTGGTTCTGATGTTGGAGCTAGTTAAAGTTCTCATTATGTAGTTTTTACCGAGAGTACGAAGTCTACTCTCGATTGTAGGGGTGTTAGCCAGTTGGTGTATGAGTGCTAAAGAGAAGTCTTCTAGCCTTCTCAAGATCTTTCTTTCTATGGCCATCATGGCGTTGCGTTGGCGGTTGTTCAGTAGAGGGTAAAGAATCGTTCTATACTCAATAATTGGTCTGATGTAGGTTTTGTATGTGTGTAGGAGAGTTCTGCTTTGTGCCCCATAAGATATTCCAGAAATAGCTCCCAGGAGTCTAGCCCTTTTTCTCACTTTGTTAACGGTGAGGTTGAGCTCAGTCTTCCAGTTGAGGTGCCTCTAAATTGCACACCCAAATAGTTAACTGAGCTCTGATAAGGGAGTCCAGTTCCAAAGAGCCCTAACTGGTAACCATCTTCGTCGACCCTGTTGCCAGCGTGTCTGGAGAGGATGGCTTGCATCTTGTTGGGGTTGAGCGTGACTCTCCATTTGTTGCACTACTTGACGATTTTGTCAAGTTGGGCTTGAGACCTACTGAGCGCAGAGCGGTTCCTTATAGTTCCCTACACCTTGCATGAGGCAAGCAATGCTGTGTCATCAGCATAAAGGAGGATGGTTTCATTTTCATCATAGGGGCGTGAGAGGTCGCTGTTGTGTATATGATAGGAGCTAAAATTGAGCCTTGTGGTACTCCAGCTAGTGGAGTGAAGAAGGTAAAAAGTTGGTCGCTGATTTTTACTCTTATGTTCCGATTGGAGAGGAGAGATAGGAGTGGATGGTTCTTAGAAACGTAGTTGGCAGTCCAGCAAGGCGGAGTTTTTCAATTAGACTTGAGTGCCAGACCTGATCGAAAGCCTTCTGGACGTCAAGAAATATGACGATGGCAACTTTTGTTCATTCCTCAATGTTCAGCTCTGAATCCAAATTGAAATTTTGGGATGATGTTGTTGGTATCTAGGAATTCTACGACTTTCTCCTTTAGGATCCTCTCGTAGATTTTACCTAGAGTGTTTAAGAGCGATATAGGTTATAGGATTCAGTGCTGGTGAGGGGTTTCCGTTGTTTAGGGATCATGATTGGTACTGTGTGCATCGCTTCTCATCCTACTTGATAGTTCAGAACTGCCCCCCTACTTTGTGAGTAGGAACTCAAATGTATAAATGAGGGTGATTTTTAAGTAATCGGGGCGCCATGTAACCTCAGAAATTCTTAAGTGGAATAAACTATATGTATACATTTGTAATTACATATCCCCTATGTGCTCGTTACTAAATAGGATTATAGAGTATCTTCCATGTCGATATAGCTTTAACAAAACTGCTCCTTTGTTTACAATGTAATATATAATTATATGGGGTGTGTTTTCCGCCTGGAATGGAGGAAGGTCTAGAATAAATCTCGGTAAGACAGTTATAACAATACTAACACCAGCTACGGAATCAAATCTGAGGAAATGGGAGTGGAAACTCCTAGCATAGGTGGTGAAAGGATAGTGAAAGATCCTCTGCCTTGCATGGAATCTATCATCCGATAGTGGTTAAAGTACAAGAGGATACCTTAACACAGATGTGTATCTATGGCAAAAACACATCTTCTGGCCTCGATGACATACAAAGCCTACTAGATTGCAGAAGACAAAAATAGCGAAATGGGCACATATTCAGGGTCTGGTAATGTAAAAAATGTTATAAATAAATTGTTTTTTAAACTCATTTTATCAATAATAAAGACTAGTGAATAAAATCCACTGAATTAAAATTCATATAATTAGCAGAATAGTTTTAACAATTGGCCTCTTTCCTATTGGCCTCTCTTGGCAAACTCTTGTTTTTCCGACCCCGAGTGGCTATTAGGGTAATCCGAGGGCGGACGGGTCACTATAATTCTGTCTACTACACTCTACTACTCTTCTCTCGACTAAGGAAGTAAACCCTAACAGAAAATCCTGGTCCTCCTGGTAGGGGGTTGGGACGTAGAGCCTGCTCCTCTACACCCGTGAAAAACTTACTGCAAAAAATTCTAAAATCCAGCCTCGGAATATGGACGGGAAAAAACGAAAACGACGTAGCAAACGAACAAGGACTTTGAATATAAATACATGGAATATCCAAGGGTGGAGAACCAAGTCAGACGAAGTCATGGCAGAAGTAAAGAAAATAAAATCAGATATCACAGTTCTTACCGAAACAAAGAAAAAAGGCCAAGGTAGTGAAGACATAGGAGGTTTTATACATATTTATAGTGGAGTAGAGAAAGACAAAAGAGCACAAGCAGGAGTATCAATATTGATTAAAAAAGACTTAAAAGGAAACCTGAAAAGCTGGGAGCAGATCAATGAGAGAATTATTAGAGTATCTATTACGTGGAAAGGGCACGACCTCGAGATCATTGGAATATATGCTCCGTCAGAAAATGCATCAAAAGCAGCTAAACAAATATTCTACGAAACTTTATCGGAACTCATTGAAAATATAAATAGCCGCAAAGAAATTGTGCTGTTGGGAGATTTTAACGCTTGGACAGGAACAAAAATAAATGACAAAGTCGTAGGAAAATATGGTGACGCTAAAACAAATGAAAATGGGGAACACTTAATCGAATTCTGTGAACAGCACTCTCTGAAAATCCTAAACCGGTTCTACCAACATAAAAACATACATAAGTACACCTGGGTTCAACCAACGAGAAACACAAAGTCAATTATAGATTATGTCATCACAAAACAAGAAACACACATACAAGTTGAAGACATAAGAGTACTAAGAGGACCGGAGTGCGGAACTGACCACTATATGGTAAGATCAAAATGTTACCTACAGTATCGACCTCGGCTACTACATCAAAATGACAACCAACTAGCTCAATCAAAACCCCTGGAATCGAATCTACCTAAATACAATATTGATGCACTGCAAAACGACTCGACATCATTCTTATATAAGCTGCGACTTAGCCTAAAATTGACAAACCTGATCTACTCCTCAGCCCAGAATACCTATAAAGAGATAATCAATAAAATCAATGAAGCAGCTTACGAAGCGCTCGGCACAATCCAAAAGAACAAAAAGAATACTCCATTGTGGTGGACAAATGACATCGCCAATGCAGTACACAACAAGAAACAAGCATATCAAAAGTGGCTGCAAACAAATGATCCAGATGATAGACGAACATATGCAAGATTAAACAGAGAAGTAAAAAACTTAGTAACTAAAGCAAAAAATATTTCCTGGGAAAGTAAATGCGAAGAACTCAACAAATATATAGGGTCAACAAGATCAAGAGAAGCATGGAAAACGGTAAAAAATCTGAGAACAAACAGAAAAGAAACGAGTAGAATAGATTTAATAGAAGAAAAATCTTGGATCGAACACTACTCACAACTTTTAACTGAAACAAGACCTCAATTCACGAACATCAGTACAACACCATATGAACTGGAATTCAGTGAAGACGATGAAATAACAGTACAGGAAGTCGAGAATGCAATACGAACTCTAAAAAATGGGAAGTCATGCGGACCACAAGGTATACCAAATGAATTATTAAAACATAGCCCACAAGTATTACGGGAATTACTGGCGTATGTCTTCACCTTATTCTATAATGGACACGACTTACCACCGGAGTGGACAAAAGCACATATTAACAACATATACAAAAAAGGAGATAGAAAGAATTGTTCAAACTATAGGGGGCTAAGTGTCATAAATTCACTCTCAAGACTGTATGGAAAAATAATAAAAAATAAAATTGAAAAAGAGATGACAGATGTAGAAGAACAGAATGGCTTTCGTGCAGGCAGATCCTGCATGGACAGTATATTCTCTCTAAAGCAAGTTATCGAAAAAAGATTAGCCCACAACCTTTCAACTCATATAGTCTTTATAGATCTGACAAAGGCATACGATAGTGTACCACTTTCAATGCTTTGGGTAGCAATGGAAAAACAAGGAATAAGCAAAAAAAATATACAAGCAGTACAACAGCTCTACAAAAATATGACGGCAAACATTAAAACTGGAAATAGAATAACTAGAGAAATTCCTATTAGTAAGGGCCTAAAGCAAGGCTGCTGCATAGCACCTACACTCTTCAAAATATATCTAAATGAGGCACTCTCACTGTGGAGAAGAAAGTGCTGCAATATGGGCATCCCAATCGGAGATGATAGATTGTACACGATACATTTCGCTGATGACCAAGCCATTCTAGCTGAAGACGAGAGTGATATAAGCTACATGCTTAGAAAACTGGAAGATGAGTACACCAAATGGGGCCTCACAATTAATATACAAAAAACTGAGTACTTAGTTGTAGGAGAACAACCAGAAAGCCTACAAATAGAAATGGGAACTATAAAACCAACAGACAATTTTAAGTACTTGGGAGTCCAAATAACATCAAAAGCAGGAAGTAGCGAAGAAATACATTCCAGGATTGGCCAAGCAAGATCAGCCACCAGACAGCTACACGGACTATTATGGAATAAAAAAATAACAAAAGAAAATAAAAGAAGAATTTATAAAACAATAATAGAAAGTATTGGACTGTATGGCGCCGAACTCTGGGAAATAAACCAAAGAAACAAATCAAAAATTAAGGCCATGGAAATGAACTACTGGAGACGATGTTGCCAGCTCACTAGACTAGATAGGGTGAGAAACGAAGATATTCGGAGAGAAATGGAAATCGATCTTGACATAATAGACACAATCGAAGCCAAAAGACTTAACTGGTATGGACACCTTCAGAGAATGCCGGAAAATAGATGGCCAAAAAAAATAGAAGAATGGACTCCGCCAACTAGAAGAAAACGAGGTAGACCAAGACGATCCTGGAGAGACGATGTCGACGATGCAATGACCGCCAGAGATCTAACAACTGAAGATTGCTTCGACAGAAAACGCTGGAAATTAGGATGCGAGAAGCGGCGCCAGCTGTAGAAGACTCGCTTGTTATATTAGTTTTAACAATTGCTATCAAACTTGATTGATATCAAATATTTAATTAAAATCAATTACGTCACATTGAGGTTACGTTGAGGTTATGTTGAGGTTATGTTGACTGATTTATTTTATTCAATTTTATTATTTTGCGTTTTAATTTAAAATAAACCATAATTAAACTTTTTCTGACGTTAATCTTATGTTTTTATTTACAAATCAATAATAATAATAAGCAATTTTTAATACTTTTGACAGCTGCTGTGACGTATTTAATTGTAATTATTGTAATTGTAATATTTGATTACAATCAAGTTTTGATTAGCGTTCGAACAATTGGCACTTAGTCTTTAAAAATGGTTTTTACGGAATATTGATGCAGTAGTTCAATAGTGTAGTATTTTCCACTGCGTTTTCTATCATGCATTTTACTATTCACCGTCTATATATATTTTTAAAACCGCTTTCCATTTTCCACTCATTTGTCAAGTTAATTGACATTCGTTTCTTCAACTAAAAGCTCTTTTAAAACTGATTAGCAAAAAGGTCGCCGCATAAACATCCAGCAAAACTGGCCTCTACATATTTTAACAGTTTTATTGGCGAGCGATTCCGGCCAGCGGAAATAGTGTTGGCCCGTTTCGTGGCAACTTAAAAGCTCCCGAGTTTTGCTAGCCAAAGGCTTCGTTACGGATGTGGACATAATTCTCTATAAAGAATGGTTAGCGTATATTTTGACGGATTACTCAATCAAATGCTATATTTAAAACTAGGAAGCATGACATCATACTTAGCATAGAGAAATGTTTTTTTTTAATTCAGTTAAAAACTAAGGGAAGCAGGGGATTTAAATCAAGGGTGTGTCTATAAAATTCATAAGACAAATATCACGTACGGTACACAATGCTGGGAAGTGAAAAAACAGAAAATGTTTAGATGTATTGTATAATTAATGGAATGCCTGATGTTTATCCAACGGCAAATTATTGTCGCTTAATTGTAGGAGGTGATGCCTAACATGTATTATAAAACGAATCCTAACTGCAATAAACAGTTTAGTTATCAGTTGTTATTTATCACTCTAGTTTTTGGTAAACTAGAATGATAAACACTCAGCCTTGAAATTTACTGCCTACAATTTCGAAACTGTACTATATCACGTAATGTTGTTGTTATTGATAATTCACGATGGTACATGGTGAATTCCATGGCACTTCCAATCACAACCCAATCAGCTTGTACTGGAAGACTTTAACAGACAGTTTAGTCAGGGGCTATGCAGATTAGGACACAAATGGAGACGCAGTAGAAGCATGGGCCGAAACGAGTGGCCTCACATTAATCCATGAACCTAAACTTTCACCATATTTTCAGAGCAAAGTTTGGAAAAGAGGATATAAACCGGATATCTCTTTTTCAAGTAACAACCTCCGATGTACCAAAGTAGTATATGGCCCCATACCAAAAACCAGCATACCAATTGGTATAAAAATCTTTCCAATTGTCAGACCACAAGCAATTCCATTCAGAAGGAGATTTAACTTCAAAAAGACAAACTGGCAAAAGTATGCAGACATGCTAAATTCTGAGCTGCTACGTTATGAACCAAAAGTAGAGAATTACGAAAAATTTGTAGAGGTACAACAGCTAAGTCAAGCCAGACAGGAAAAGTGAATTGAGACATAAACATAAACCACCGCAAAACAAGTTGCTGCTTAACTACTTATAAATGGAAGAACTACAAACCGATAGAAAGACCCAAACAATAGGAGAAGATTAGATTCGGAGACAAACCACATAGGAACTCTTTTTACACTAAAAGAACTCCACGACGGTATAAACAGGTTGAAAAACGAAAAAGCTGCAGTTGTGGATGATACATATATGCAGTGAACAAATAAAGCATCTAGGAAAAGGAGCAAAAAAATGAATCTTGCAAATTTGTAACACGTGCTGCAAAACCTGCAAAATTCCAAAATTATGGAGGAAATCGTAATAATAGCCTTGTTAAAACCAGAAAAGGACCAGAAAATCCAGTAGCTACAGACCTATTTCGCTGTTGTGTCACAAACTCATACTGGCCAGATGGAAAAAAATGTCGACAAGCACCTCATCCCACAACAAGAAGGATTCAGACCCGGCAAATCTTGCATCGGTCAAGTCCTCGCACTAACAGAATACATTGAAGAGGACTTTGAAGAAAAACTTATAACAGAGGCTGCTTTCGTAGATTTGACAGCAGCCGATAACACATTAAGGCACAAAACGTTGCTCCGCAAATTATACGGGACTCTCAATGACCACCATCTGGGTAAGGTCGTATATTCCTTACTGAAAAACAAACATTTTTTCATTATGTTGAAGGGTAAAGTAAGTAGGTGGAAAATTCAAAAAACCGGCCTGCACAGGGAAGTGTTTTAGCACCAATGCTCTTGAATATATACACAAACGACCAACCGACGCCGATCGAAACCAAGCACTTCCTCTATGCTGACGATCTTGCAATATGTGCTCAAGGAAATAGTTGAAGAAGTGGTGGAGAAACTCGAAACTGCCTTTAAAACAATGACAGCGTACTACCTGCAGAATTCCCTGAGATCCAATCCCTCTAAATCCCAAGTCTGCGCTTTCCACCTTCGCGCAAAGTAAGCCAAACGAAAACTGCAAATTGCGTAGGGTGGTAATACATTCCTAGACTTTAAAACGTGGAAATCTATGAATAGGGTAAGAACGGGGGTCGCTCCAGTAAAATCAAACATGGCAAAATGGGGAAAAATAGACCAAGATGATGTGAACTGTGACTGTGGAGAAACACAGAATATGGAACATCTTACATGCAGAAACTGTCTCATCGATGTACCCTCGAAGATTTGTGGGTCGCCAATAAAGATGGAACCAATAATGAGATGTCCGGATACGATAAAATAAAGTAACCGTGGCACAATGTACAGTCTAAAAAATCTCCCAAGTTCGCATTTCGAAAAAATTTAATGAAATGGTGGTTACGAAGTGAAAACATTTTCAGCTGGTATCAGATGTCAGACTAAATTACAATTAGAAGGAAAAATGAGTGACTTTCGTCACCAATAGTCATTTAAATTCTAAATATCAATTTTTTGTTATATTCAAAAACACTTTTTCAAAATTAGTAAACATAATATATAGTCTAGAAAGCTATCTAAGAGACTCATTTATATTCAGTTCGCCGTGGTGCTATTGTTAGAGGTGTGAAATTACGTAAATACGGCAAAATTTCATAAAACAGATAGATCTCTTGTTTATAGAATTTCACACCTCGGAATAATGGCAGCCCGCTGAGCTGAATATTTATGACTTACCAGTGCTTTCAGGATCAGCTTCAGCAAATGCCTCTTCAAGTCTCATTCTGTTATTCATGATCTGCATCTTTAATTCCTTGCACGCTCCCGATTCTACCAAACCCATTCTTTGGTAAAGGTTTAGTTTTCGTCTACCAGCGTTGGCCATGTACTGAACGAAGTGAGTGTCGAGCTCTGGGCCCATCAGTTTTAGATACGCGCCGTTGTTCGAGCCTACTTCATAGTAGTTTGACGCGGAGAATATCGTAATAACCTAGAATACAAAAATATGAGCTAGTTGGAACAAAGGAAAGAGAAAAGAGATTAAAGATTACTATAACCTAGAAAATAAAAAGAAAGAAAAGACATTGTTTAAAACTTAAACTAATAGTTTTTAAAGTTTAATTTACCTACAGTACTTTAAGTTTTGAATTAGGTATAGGTACACTCTATAAATGGCAACACTTCTACAGTAGTTGTTTAAAGCAATAATAGTGTAGATTTTTAATTTATTTTTATAGACAACATGTCTGTTTATATACTAGTAGAAAAAGTTCAAATAATAAAATGATTTTATGGTAGTAATTCTGGACAACAGTGTCTAGATTTATTTTCTGTGTTTTTTGAGGGGAGATCAATTTCTTGCATACAGTCAATTAATAATATTGTTAAAAATTTTGAGAGTTTTTATTGCCTTAAAAATTGCAGAAAATATCACGCTAAAGAAGTATCACCAGAAAAAATGAGGAAAGAGAATACCGTGATACACAAATTTGTGTAACAATCGAGGTAGATTTAACACGTCCAAGTAGAAGCGTTGCTAGAGAGTTAGATGTTAGCAATGTTACTATGTGCTTGTTGTAACTATGCTAGACATATGCTTCTAAAGTACGGGTAGCGGGTAGGGACTCCTCTGGATAGTCTCATCAGGGAAAATGAATTAATTCCTGCCTCCGCAGGTTTCAGGGATTTCCTGACCCGGGAAACTAGTAACTGCTTACTGTCCCTTATCCAGGGTTACGGATGAAGTCCACAACGGCAGCAGTGGCGGAGAAGAATAACTTCGGTACGGCGTGGATGGCGAAAGTGACAATCCCCTGATTTTAGAGATTGTATAGAATCACTCGCCAACCCGCTCGGCAAGCGTGGCGTTTTAAATATGCTAAAACCTTCCAAGTTGAAGATGTCGATTATCAATACGAAATTACCCCAGGTGAGTAGAGTTATACACTCAGAATCTCACACTGAGCAATCAGTCAGCCTCATGGATTCTGGGGGAGGCAAATATTTGACTAAATCTAATAAGCCATCCATCCTTGCTTCGTATATTCACTTACAATATAAGAAATATGGGAACCGGGAGAAGTATGTACCATATTAAAATCTGGTCACCAGCTATACCAGAAAAACTCCGTAGAAAATCATCACATAGGCGGTGTAGCGTTCCTGATAAACAAACGAGCTCCTTTTAAAGAAACGAAGTTCTGTGCAGTATCAAACAGAGTTATATATCTTGTCATCGCTTTGAATAGCAGATACAGCTTACAGATAACTAATACATGGATAAGCACCGACAGGAAACTCAACAGACGAGGAAGCTGAATCATTTTACGAGGATCTGACAACAGCAAGGAACCAAGAAAAATCTGGCATGGGGCGCTTTCGGCAAACTAGCATATATCTTGAAAATAACCTCCATTCCTGTAAACTTAAAGAAAAAGGTGTATAACACATGCATACTACCAGTTTGTACCTACGGCTTGGAGACAGTAGCCCTTACCAAAAAATCTGCTAAAAAATTAGAAACAACGGAAAGAGCAAAGGAACTAATCATGCTTAAAATATCACTGAGAGACAAAATTAGAAACACCGAGATAAGACGTAGAACAAACATTACCGATATTGTGGAAGAAATTACAAAAATGAAATGGCGCTGGGCAAGTTACGTAGCCCGATATAATGACAACAGGTGGACATGAAGAATTCTAGAATAGAAACCAAGGAAGACAACAAGAAGCGATTAGATTGACGCATGATAAAGGTAGATGGAAGCAATTGGGAGAGACCTACATTCAGGAGTGGATGGAAAATGGTTGACAAAGAAGAAGAGAATTATAGAAGAATCTTAACATGATTGAAACGATCAGTAATTTCCAAATTATCGGTTTGAGTCATCAGAAAAATCCCAGCAGCAACGCAAGCAACCTACTTGAGATCAGTTGAAATCGAGTATTGATTGAACTCGGAGCTCCTGAGATTTGTTAAAACGTTGTTTGTAAAACTTTCATTCATCTCAGATTTCTGGGTGGTCCTTCGAAAAAAGTATAGAAAAATGAACAAAACTTGTTCCCCTAGGGAAAAACCTATAACTGGTGTGCAAAACAAAGGCATTAGGACGAGGTGTAAGGACAAACACACCTGCATCTTCGCACAGAAGGATTTGTTGACAAATAACGAGATGGAATGATAATATTTCACGATAAAACGTTTGTTATTCTTTTAAACAGCCTTTACGTATCTGCCTATCTTTGTTAACGGTAAACCGTACTCAAAAATTGGTATAATTTATTTTGTAATATAGATATTAACTTTTTGGATAGGAAGAAGTTTCAACATCGAATTTCTGCCAATAGCTTAAATTCTTCCTCCAAACTTCTCTGTTCCGCTTCGGTCCAATATTGCTACGTCATTTTAATAAGAAATTTAATCGGGTCCTCCTAAAGCCTCATAATCTGTGCACATAAGCCTTTAGAGAGCTGTTTTACTCGTTTTTAGTATGCCCTAACCGATAAATTAATTCCATTATATCTCCCCAACACCCCGTCATACTGCCTCTCGGCGCTGTAAATATATTTGAGTAGTGAAAGAAAAAGTCCATGTTTATAGCTCATGGGGGAGATTTGGGTTTACTGCCTATAAATAATTGATAAAATAGTATTACCTCTAAATTGCTGCGTGGGTGGTACGTTCTGAGTAGACAATTTGAATATTGGTGATTTGGCTTTGTTTTGAAGTTTTGAAATTAAGGGCAAAACATTAGCTTATGTAATATATGCTGCATAAATACTTAATGTAAAAAAATAAAAAAAAACTAAATTAAAAATAAATTGATATAGGTTGAATGCTCGAATAAATGAACTTTGATCCAATGAAACGGTAGATATCGAGCACAGTTTATTTATTAAAACTTGCCAAAAGATAACAAAAAAAAGTATAATAAATAGAAAACAAAAACAACCAAGAAACAATAAAAACACAATAAAATTACACTTAAAAATATACAGGGTGATTTAAAATATAATTGTAAAAAGAAAAATTATTTGAACATACTAAGAATATTACAGTAGATATTGCTCAACTGTCCCGTATCTGCCTTAAGACAGTTTTACATTATGCTATTTTCATGCTAGGCAAGAGCCATGCAAGACAGATCATGGAACTGCGCATGCCCACGGGCCATTTCCATGCAATTCCTGTGCTAGACGAAAAATTAGAACATGTTCTATTTTTCATGCAATTTTCTTGCAATTTATCGTTAAAATTCATGTTGCCAACATAACAATTTATAATAGATTACAGAATAAAACATAACCTTATCTATATCTTTAGCGTCCCTTAACCCACATGTGTATTGTTGTGTTTTGATTTAAATTAAGTTTATTAAGTGGTGATAAATAGATATACTATGTCTAAAGTTAATGTAAAAACGACTGGGTGAGTCGTTGACTATGGATGATTGTTGCTACAACCTCAATATTCAACAATAACAATGTTTTCTTTTCTTTGGTTGACATCCTTCACCCTTTTAATAACCATAAATAGTGTGTATATTTATTTATTATATTATTTATTTTAGTACTTAATTATATTTTTTATTTAAAATAAAATAACCTCAAATTGATAAATATTTTCTCTGTTGGCAACCATGAAAGTGGGATCTAAAATTGCACAGAAATATCTCAGATGTAAAAAGGTCAAGCTAGGCAAGAGATGTGCCATGCAAGACGGACTTGCATAGCATGAGACTTGCATAGCCTAGATGTAAAGCTGCCTTTATAATTAACTGCATATTTTTCTTTAATATTGTGACACATTTCTATACTCTGTTTTTTAACCAGGAGGAGTAAACCAAAAAGACAGATTCACACCCAAGAAAGTTACTAGAAAAGTCACCAAATACATCTTCTTTTTTTGTTGTATATCTCGGCCTTGCGGTAATCGAGTAATCAATATCGGACAACCTTACACGTCAATTCTAACCGAACTTTATGTTTGAATAATATTTTTTTTTAATTCATTTCCAATATATATCACAATTATTACAATAAAAAAGGACGTTTTTCACATTTGGTCCCATGTATATATATTTAAATATCGGGTGATCCAGTTTTATAGATCTTTTTAATCGATGGTACTTAATTTAGAGAATATTTTGATCCAGAGAGTCAATAATGTTACAGATCTAAGTATGGTTTTTCTCAGAAATTTGTCTTTTAATTTGCAAATAGATCTTATATGCAACAAAGCTATGCAAATGCATGTATCAAAAAGTTAGAGAGAGTTCAAAGATTTCTGAAATACTGTTCTTTTAAACTACGTAAACCATATTCTTATTCTGGTGTGATTATTTTCTTGAATCTAGGTTTTTTTTCTTACCAGAAGAATTAACTTTGACTTTGATCATTATTTTTAAGCTTAATAATCCAATCTCCTAAATTGCTTCTGCCAGTTTGATTTACATATTCCTTCCCATTCATTGCTTTAGAATAGACTTTTTCATGTTTCATATCACAGAATAAATTATGGTTCAAATATAGGTGTGGTCCTACTTTTCATGCATGGTAATCAGTTACCTCATTAGATACATTTAACTTATATATCAATATCTTAAGGATCTATTTGAAGTACTAAAATGCAAAACAATAAATTTGTATAAATAAGTGTGTACTTGCAATTTCTTTAATGCTGGATTCTTGTTTAATTTTGACAGTGAGTTTGTCCCATTTGTTATCAATAAATAAAATTTACTAAAAAATACTGAATTTCTGTGAGATAATCAACTAATTCAATCTATTATGTTACATTCTAGTATAATTTTGTAGTTTTCTTGTGATGATCTACAACAGGAACAACAAAACTAACTGTATCAATACAATGAAAGTAAAACAAAACATTACTAATGTTCTTTTATTATGATGAAAACAAAATGAAAATGCTTCTTAACAAGTATACTCAAATTTAAAAGATGGTTGCCGTTTTTCTTATAAATATCAT